ATATTAATTTAGATTTAGCTTAGTATTAAATAATATCTTTGCCCCTAGCTAAAACAAGTTAGACTGTGCATATACGACAGTTGTTTATTATACATATATTATACCACGCGGAGATCAGTCACCGGAAATGGATTTTTTGGGACTAGCATAACTATACACATAGATACAGAAATAAACAAATAAAATACCACTTAAACAACGCACTATATCTATCATTTGAGCAGCGGTTGACTTTAATCGCACACGTTCATAACACGTAAAAATTATCTTATATTTGTGATGCGCATATGGATGCCATTATTTAAGTGTCATTTAAAATGTCCCTACAAATTGCTATTTCGACCTTTATGTATTAGTAAAATATATAACTCGTGCTTAGTATTTAATATCTATAAATGTATAATATTTGCTATAACTATTTACTATAACTGCCGCTTTTCCTTAAAATGTAGGTATACAGTTGATTTGTTACTGCTCAGTGTTTATTACATAATATCATATTATTATATACGGCAATTGCAAAATTTTATTCTTCCGCATTACATGTACTTGCCATTGGACACCTTTAATTATCATTAATTTCGAAATATTCGTAAAATAAATTGGCCGTGAAATAGCAGTTTAGTATTAATATACGTACTTCGCAGCTTGAAAATCTAATACTATTCATCTAGATGCAGTGATAATAAATATACTTATTATGTTTTACACTTAATTACTATCAATTACGCTATAATGTTTTTAATATAGAAATGTATTATTAATGTGATTCACAAAGTAGATAGGTAATCTATGTCTATGATCAGTTCATTGATTATGAAAAAAATTGACTTAAAAAAGAATTTACTGATTTTTTTTTCAATCAAGAGCGAGTTTTACAGGTAATTTTTTTAAGTAATTATCTATAACTATTTTTTACAGATGAAAAGTTAGAAATTTTAGAAATAGTATAATATAAAAAAAAAGTTAATTGAATAATGGCATTTTTTTGACAAACTAAAAAAGTTTGTTCGGTTTTAACAAATTATTTCAAAATTTATGCATTAAATAATAATGTTATATGCATAAATAATCATTAAGTATAGAGATGTAATTTAAATACATTATTGGCACTTGTATGTTACAGCGAATTTAACGCAATTATTTATAATAATATTATAGTAAGTAATATTTGTAAAGAAATTATTAATTTGAATTGCATTTACCAATATAATACTAATGTAATGAAAACACGGTAACGGGATAGCTAATAGCTATACAAACAAAACCGTTAAAATGTAAATTACCTACATAAATATTATCATATTTAAAATGTAATTTATAATGTTAAATGTGTGATATTATATAACATGTATACTATATAGTATTGTGTATTCATTCAATCATTTTGTTATTTTTAATTTACTTTTAATGTACAATTGTGTACCTATATGTTATTGTTAATTATGCTCTATTATTATTTATTACTTATTAATATGTCGAGGCCCAAGTTCATAAAATCATTATAAATATAATTAAAGAACCTAATTAGGAATTGGTTTCTGTGAAAATAAATAAATGTTAAAATTTGTAAGCTGAATCCTATACTTCTATTAAACGGCATAATATACCGATTACAAAGTATATAGATACCCATACGTACATGCAATAAGTTATAAAAATAACGTCAATAGCGTTTAAATGAGTTTTTATAAACATGTATCAGCATAAGCACTTATTTTTAATGCTTAGAAAAGTTTAGTTATATGAAAATATATTTCAATTGTTTCAGTAAATTTCAAAACCACAGTTGCGTATTAAAAGCACATTATTGTTATTGATATCGAGTATATTTGAGTATTCGACAATACATGAGAATATGGATTCATTAGTTTAAATTACACGTGTGACTCATTTACGAGTATTGTCTATATCGAGGTATTATAGTATTAACTATAAAGGATTAGCATGGGAATGCTTAAATTAGTTAATATTTAGAGTCAATAAATTATCTAAAACCATAATAATATTACCTCTACAAATACTTATTACTACTACAACTCTATACCATATGTGTAGGCAGTGCAAGTTTAAGTTGTAACATATCAAAAAATGGGCCTTAGATTTATACACCAAAGTCTTGGATTTTGTAATAACCATTTGTTTTTAATTATTTAAAAAAATATAAAAATACTTAATCATGGACAGATACAAAAATTGACATAATACCTATGCTTCACATTTTGTTAATACTAATACGTACTTCGGTTCACTTAAACTGTGGCCTAACAGTGCTTGTTCTTTCATACAAACCTGACTCCAGAATTCTGGTAGACATATATTTTCGTATTTTATACCATTATATTTATTTCAATTTGTATGGCTGCTTAATCAAAAGTAATATATGTATTAATAATTATTAATAATAGAACATTTGATAAATTCTCTAATTTTCATAACGTTAAACCAAAAACCCAAACATAAATTAAATTAATTCAAGTTAATTTTATCCCACTCGAACTATATACCTAATCAATTTAGATTTTTAAAACTTACTTGAACCTATTCTTATGATTTTATTTTACAGAAGAAATACCATTTATATTGAAATATGAACATCGTACGACGCCAAAGCTGTAAAACGGAAAAAATCGCAAACTTTATTTTCACGCGGTCCGAAATAATATGTGGAATTAAATGTATACGTGATAAACTATTGTACTTTCCGCGTAAATTATGCTATTATAAGATAAGTAAATGATTAAGAGATAAAAATGACTAATTTTTCGCTTTACAGCCAAGAAACGATATGTTTCTGGACATTTGGCGTGTCTTTATATTTTGTTACAAATAGTAATTATCACAGAAATAATGCGCATTATGTACACAATTATTACAACATACTGTAAGATATAATACATATTAATTATTATGCATAGTTAGTAGTTATACAATTATTCAAAGATAGTCTCCACAGTACTGCGATACCGACAAGATGGGCACGCTAAGGTACATAGATATCGGACAATATATATATATATTGAAACACTAAACGCCATTCGATTAATCATAAAATTGTATAGAAACATACTGCATACGTATAGTACCTAAATTCATGAGATAAAAGGTCGAACGACCATAATAATAATATTATGTGAACTGCCGTCACGACGGAAGCGCACCCGATGGCTTGAAGTATACGTATACATAATATTGTTATCCATAAATAAAGTATATTATCATTGATATTATGCTTTTGATTTCCTACATCACATATTCTATGAGACCGTCAGATGTACAATAAAAACGCGCTAGTGTGTTTACAGTGTACATCGATATAAAATCGTTAGATCTTAGATAGATGCAATGAAAAATGTATGAACTCGAAGGTCGTATTCAACACGATTTATTTAATTAGCCCTGGAGCAGTTAACGCCGCACAAAGCACATACACTGGCGCACTACCACTGCAGCGTATTCGGTTTCATATGATACGTATAATACTGCTGTAATTGTCACATAACGATTTTTATACATATTAAAATATAAATATATGTACGAGAAAAAAAATTGTACATGCACATAATGCATATAACGCTGGCATATAATATCATCAAATTATTCTTTTTGTCGACATTCGGACGTGCTCTCTTTTGCAGGTATATATCAACAAATGATGTCAGTAAAGTTTGGTATCGGGACGTATAGTCATCGTCCATCGATATCAGCAGTGCGTAAGCATTCAAGACAGGGCCAGATTTAATGATTTTCTCTAGATACACTCATACATTCAACCAACAAAATTCACAATTTATCTTATCCAATCAATACTATACTCAATTTATTTATTTATAAAAAAATCATTTGATCCTATTATCTGGTGCACTTATTATATAATATATATATATTTAAAAAGTACTATTTTTTACCTGTCTAAAACTTAAGATAATCTTCGTTTTATAAACGAGATAAGATTTAGAAATAATAATTTTAACCAAGTATTCAGGAAAGATCTTTAAAATGTTCTAATATCGTTAGTAAAATGTTTCTATAATATCTGAAAAAACATTGTTATAGAAAATGTACCTACGTTAAGCTATATTCTCGTTGAATAGTATTGATTTATTAGAGTAACAACATTACATAAACTGATTCAAAGGTAGCGATAGTTATATCGGTCAAATATAATATAGTAATGCTAATTGTCATCCGTCATGCTAAGTGCGATCGCACATCAGATCTATTCAAACACATTGCATAAATGACAAATTATACTATAGAGGTAGAGATTTTAAATCAAAGTTTTAATAAAATATTCACTATCGTTTTTATTTTTAAAAATAGGGTGTCTATTCTATAAGTTTTAATGAAACACGAGACTTATTAGTTTCGTCTTTCATCCATCAATATAGTAACACTTTTATTTAATTGAAATGCGTTCATTGTAGAAAATAAAATTTTACAACAGTATGTTAACGTGAATATTTAATGTATCTACGTGTATGAAATGAATAATCAATTTTTTCCAAAGTACCTACAAAATATGTCTGAAAATGAGTTCCATAAACTTTTAACACATTCGATTTAATAACTTTATTATTTAAAAATAATAAAGAATCGTTTTCACAAAATGTAATATTTAACAATGAAATAAAAATATTTTTACGTTTTATTAAAACTTGGATTATGTGCAATAAAATTGCTGTCCCTGATCTATAGCCTATAACAGATAGGTAATATTTAGTTATATATATCCGTTATTATACAAAATTACACAGCTGTAGCGGTATACACGTTTTTGTTTAAGTAAGCAAATCTAAACTGTAGTATCTATACAAACATCAAAACAAAAAATGTTGATTCATAATTATTTGTTTATATTTTTAATTCTTATTTTAAAATCAAAAATAAAACATTTTTCTCTTATTTTTTGGCTTTATTACCATAAAACTATTAATTACTCAAGTATAAGATATTAAGAGTAAATTATGGGGGAAAAACAGAACAATAAGATTTTAAAATAAAATTTTCGTTAAATATTAAGGTTATGAGCTTAACAAATTTAAATGTAGTAGTCTTATAAGGAATAACATTTATTATAACGGCGTGTTGGACTGAATGTGAAGTGGATTGAAACTCGGAATCATTGGATGCTGTAACACCTTGAACCCGGGCGTCTTCAAATTCAATCTGGTATCCTAATATTAAAACCAACACCAAGCATTAGAATATTGATAAAGTAATATAAACTAAATATTATTTGGTGTTATTCAGGCGTCGTGAATAACTATACTTATACTTCAGACTACTATAATATAAGCATCACAGTAATTATTTGTGGAAAAATTGTAATCATGCGTAATTATTTTTAATAATTGCACATGCGACATCATTGTTGAGTTGAAGAAAAACTATATGTATGTGAGTAAAGTAGTTAAAGAGCACAAGGTTAGGTCATAAGTAGATTAACGTGTGGTGGTTGTTTTAAATGGGAAAAAAAACAATGGAAAACATAAGTAGCGTACCGCAACTAGCATGTGAACATACATTATTATTATGGAGGACAGAAGGATAACTTAATATTATTATGTATTGTTTTTAATTTAAAAAAAAAAAAAAACTATAATTTACTTAGAATTACGAATTCAGCAAAACGAAATAATTAAAAAATATGTATATACGAATCGTGGTCTAAAAACTGATACATAATATTATTATGATAATGCAATTATATTTTTATTTGATCACATAACGTACAATATACTTAATTTATAGTCAAATAGAATTAAAAACATCATAATATTATACTCGTTGAAAATTTATCAATTGGTAGAAAATAATAAAAGAAAAATCATAAAAATATGAAGCTTGATGAACTTAGGGCAATTGTAAAACCCAATTTTTGAACCTAAATAGATCAATATAAAGTCACTAGGGCACAAATGTTGATTAAGAAAAAAAATTTAAAAATTGATCATGTAATAAAGCACGTGACCTAGCCATAGCCATCACTTTTCAAGTTAAATCGTGTCTGATTTAATGTGAAGATTTTAATTAGATTTTTTATGATTAGACGGTCTGCAAATATTTCCAAAGAAAGTAAGAAGAAAATAAAAGGAATAAAGGAAAATTATAATTAAAACGTGAATAACGCACTTTCATGCGTCAATTAGCATTACGATCGACAGGGTAAATATTATAAAAGCCACAAAAAAACATAATTGCATACAAGAATACCGCTTACCAATTCCGTTTGTTTAGTCTCGGTTCCAAAAGATTTCCCGTACACTTTTAGCGACTCATCCCTGTTGACACTGGTCCAATTGGATACGATGTTGTACATGGCAATTTTCTCATCGTCGGACGTATACTCGATTTCGTCCAACACGCGCAAGAACATTTCGTGTAGGTAGTTCGTTATTTTGGTGTCTTTGTAATTTTTCCCCACGTAATAGTTGTTGAAGACGCGGTATAAAAAATAGTACACTTTCCTGGAACGACAAGAGTTGACACATGTTAAACTTGATAATACAATTATATATTGGCCATTTTAATCATATGCATACCCTATGAGATACAAAAAGTGTCGATGTAGATGTAGAATATATTATAATATTACATAGGTTAAATTCATCGATAGCCAGCAGATTAAAGATAAATAAAATAAGGTTGGAATTCCAAACCCCCTCCCTTCCTCGATGAAACCGCAAGATAAAATTAAATCTTCCGACATTTGAATATCATTCAGTCAATAATTTTCACCAACGAGAATCGCCCCGGGAAATTTACCTGAAGTCTATGACGTTATTTGAGGCGTCCGAGGTCGTTTCCGGCGGAGGCGTACATTCTGACATTATCAAAAATGCGCTGGAAAATAGTTTGAACTTGTCGAACTGACACGGATCCTTGTAAAACGTCTCTAGGTACTCCATCCACTTGACCATCACGTCCTTGGGCTTGGTTCCACCAGCAAGGAACAAGTCATCCATTTCGTTGAGGTTGACGAACCGCATGACCTTCATGTCTGAGCACTCAGCCTCTTTCCGACATTCGATTTTAAGCTGGCGCAACTTTTGCTCCACATGTTTGAGCTTTTTGGTGGGTACGCGTGTAGCTATTCGAGTCAGGTTACCAATTCCATACATGTCGATGGCTTCAGCCAACTGGAGCTTTTCTAATTCTGTCCAAACATTGGACGATGACTGGTACGCGAGCTGTCAGACAAAACAAAGTCGTAAATAAGAGAAAAATTATAGTTATAAATAGATAATTGGTGTGATAATTAATTATGAATAACGTTACGCTGCAGTGCTAAAATTCGATTACTTGTAAATTACTATTTCACATACTATGCGACGTCAACGAATTTAACGTTTTTGCGAATTGTAGGTGTAACTATTTAACTATTATAAGTCAAGATTGACAAAAATTGAAGAACCGTGTAGATATAGTTTAAAATAGTTTGTTGTTTAGGTAAACGGCGTAAAAATAGGATCAATGTTTTAAAATTTTTATTGTGTAGGTATAAAAAATAATAATGTGAATAAAAGCGAAAAGTTTTAAGTTTCAAAGATAATTATTATACTTCAAATTATAACAAAATAATTATGAAATGTTGTTTAAGATAAATCAATATATTTCATTTAAAAAATAAAATTAATAGTACTAATAAAAAATTATACCTTTGTTTTTTACGATTAAATTAATTTTATAAATTTCTGTATAATGATGTATATAGATGTTTCTCATGAACTTTTATTTTCAAGTTTCGAACCAGCGATTTTTTTTTTTATTGAACTTAAAAAAAACATCAACAGCAAAATTTATTAGTTTCGTGTTTAATACATATTGCGTCGTATAGCTAAAATTATACAATTAATACGTTGTTAATTATATGTAATTACTAGGTACTAACATTAATATTATAATTATAATTAACAGAAGATATACATGTTATTGTATAGATCGGTCATTCTTAGAAAAACCAACATACTTGAAATATTTTCAGAGCCTGGTCCTAACATTTCGTTCATTTTGAGTGGGATGTTGAATTTTCTCAGTTCGTCGAAGTATTGGTAGCACTCTGTTATTATATGTTTAATTGTTAGATTGACCCCAGAAACTGTATATTGGGTGGGCTCCTCTTTGGTCACAAAGAACTTGTGAGTCAGCCTTGTGTGGCCTATTCGGAGGCGATTAATTATGATTTTTATTTTCAAGTATCGACCCAGCGAAATTGTTATCAACATACAACGAAAAAATGTCAAAAATTATTGAATGTCTATTGAGGATTAAGACTACATGTATTGTCTCCATTTTACCAACTTTCCTTTAGAAATATCTAAGTAAATTAATCTGAATAAATTCACAATATAATACGCTGCATACGAACTGAGTCCCAGTATAACCTTTTATGATGAATTAAGTCCCGGGTGTTTTAGGGTATATACCAATTGAGTCCAGTGAAATTTTAGGTATAATACTAATTGAGTCCGTGTTTTAATACTAACTGAGTTCCGACAATTTAAAAAAAAAAAAAAAAACAATATTTTCCTTCCCATTTTTATAGACTTAGGACTGTCGATAACAAAAAATGCTACAGGTATGGCTAAAAAATTTTTTTTTTTCAAATATTTTATAATAATGTAGGGGTATAATACAGTATGAATAATTTGTGTATAATTTAATAAATATGGAAAATGATAAAATAAGTTTTTTTATACTGGTAAAAATGTATGGAATAAGCATTGTTTATATTCAAATCTAGTTATTTTTTTTGATTACAACAATGTAAAATTTGATGTTCGATTTCTTTTTCTTTTTCTTTTATATAATTTCTTGTATTAATTATATAAATACTTCTAATTTTTATATAAATTTCGCATTGTACATTCAATAAAATGTTTATAAATTGGTAAATGTTTGGATGGGCTGAATACAATAACATAGCATTAATTTTCGAATGAAAGGATTCACAGCTGTTAGTGATCCTCGCCAATGAATATGAAAATGAGGCTGCATGACGAGCATAACGGCTGTGCGGCATAATTTCCACTTTGCCTGGACTTAAGGCGGTTGATTTTATATTTTACTCAAAATAATCCTCGGACTCAATTCGTATACTATTAGTTTCCTAACCTCGGACTCAATTAGTATATATCCCGTTTGTACCCGAGACTCAATTAGTATATTATTTTATTCCCCTTCAGGTATAGGGATTCAATTAGTATATAGCGATATAATATTATAGTAACTATATAATTGTATGTCTATATATATATCATAATACAGAAATCCAATAAATCCAAAAATTCACAAATAATACAACCAGAATGTTATTTTTTGATAATTTAATAAATTTACGCGTTTTATCACTTAAATAAATTATAGTTGAAAATGATCAAAATAATAACTGTAAAAAAATAGAGTTTATATCTATAATCAAATTTTACTTAATTTATTAAGACACGTAATCGCGTTATTAAAATTAAAAAGTGTAAACATTGTTGACATAGAGGAAATTGAATATGAAGTAGATATGTATATTATAATCTCCTTAGAAAAAAAAAATGAACTGGCTACAAAACTATTGTAGTTTGTACGTTGTCGAGGAGATATTCACTATAATGTTTATTCGTTCGTACGGTTGCGAATAAAATACGAAATTTTTGTTGTCAGTATTAGTTTAGATTTCCTACCATCCAGTCTCTCGTATGAAACAAATTTTTTATACCAATTAACAATAATAAATAATAGTTTAATAATTTACATCATACATTTCTTTTATTAAAAGGCGATTTTAAAACAGTTCAAATGTATTTTAGTTTTAAAATGAATAAGAAACAACACTATAACGACAGCAAATACCGTGAATATGCTTTCGAATGACTTACGATCAACGGTAATATTTATAACATTGTTGAAGAGTAATAAATCAAATTCACAGAAGAGTAAAATATCTATAAATATATATTTATGTTTATTGATGTTACAATAATGTGAGTTATTTAATACACTTTTTTAATTTTTATATCAAAATAATTTAAAAACGAATAATTGTAGACACTTGAATATATTTTTATATAATTATTTTCAAAACAAAATATTTTTGATTTTTAAAGTTATTTTTATAACGAAAAATAACAATTAACAATGATTACAAAAAATATTATTCATTGTGACTTAAAGTTTCTCGTTACTATGTATATTATTATTATGAACTGGCTACAAAACTATTGCAGTTTGTACGTTGTCGAGGAGATATTCACTATATGTTTATACGTTCGTACGATTGCGAATAAAACACGAAATTTTTGTTGTCAGTATTAGTTTAGATTTCCTACCATCCAGTCTCGTATGAAACAAATTTTTTATACAAATTAATAATGATAAATAATAGTTTAATAATTTACATCATACATTTCTTTTATTAAAAGGCGATTTTAAAACAGTTCAAATATATTTTAGTTTTAAAATGAATAAGAAACAACACTATGACGACAGCAAATACCGTGAATATGATTTCGAATGACTTAGGATCAACGGTAATATTTATAACATTGTTAAAGAGTTATAAATCAAATTCAGAGAAGAGTAAAACATCTATAAATATATATTTATGTTCATTGGTGTTACAATAATGTGAGTTCTTTAATACACTTTTTTTAATTTTTATACCAAAAAAATTTAAAAAGGAATAATTGTAGAGACTTGAATATTTTCTTAAATATTTTATATAATCATTTTCAAAACAAAATATAATTTTCAAAATATTTTTGAAGTTATTTATAAACATTTTAAATGCTTAGTTTATTTTAGTTTTTTTCTTCGATTATATAGGTATAGTCAGTAAGTTATAACATAAAAATTAAATACAAGATCCTTTTAAGTTGAAAGTTAAGTTCATCGTTCATGCAATAATAAAATATATTAAATCATATTTTTTAAGCGTTATTATAAGTTTAATTTTTTAACAAAATTGTAACAAATTTGTAACGAAAAATAACGATTAACTATGATTACAAAAAATATTACTCATTGTAACTTGGAGCTTCTCGTTGCTATGTATATTATTATTTGTTTATTAACATTTAATTTTGTATATGAACACAACGTTTTTAATTATTTTTTTTCAATGAATTTAGATTAGTTTTAAACTAGTAATTATTCCACAAACCTATTAAAATCGTTTTACAGTACACCGGTATTGACTTAATTTTATAATAACTATATTTATATTATATTAATTGATACTATTTAATTGTCATTAATAATAAAGGTGATTTGTTTTTTGTAATAAATATTTCAACCTAATACATATTACTAATAGAAAACTAAATTACAGCAAACAATTTTCTCGTTTATATTTTTTGCGCTCTCTTTTTATTTATCTATCGGTTCTCCCCCGATGGGACCCACCTTGTCGTGGTGGGGGAGCTTGCAGACTCAAATATTCGATATTTGAGTCTCACCAAGAGGTCCTGAGCCAGCCCTTACTTTCATTAGTTGGGGCTGGTAAGGTTTGAGGGAGCCTTCTAGCTATTAGTAAATCCCTCAAAACAAACAATTATCACACAATGAAAAGCACAAAACAAAAAATAAACCTTACTGAGAATTCGGATATCTCGGGCCCGGCAATTGGGAGCATGTGGTGCGCGTCCCAAGGGTCGGTACGATCACACAGTAGCACCACTGGTAATGCGCGAATGAACTTGGAAAATGGCTCATGCAATGGAGATACAACGACAATAGAATTTACAACGAACGGACCTTTGGTAGTGGAACATAGTGGATTTAGTCAACTATTTGAACAAATACGCTTGGCTATAATACAAGCAAAATACTTAACTCCGATTCACGATAGATCGTCTATGACAAGTGATTCGGATGATTATTCTTCAGGAGACGACGATAACGACGATAATGACGACGGGTTGCCGGGTGTGCGTCATTCGAAAAAGCCGCCCTTAGCAGAAGTTCAATTTAAAACTGCAGCAGAAATAGTCGCTGTACGAACTCGATATATCCATAGGCAAAGTCTATACATGTCGAGTTCGAAATTGCAGTCGGCACTGATGAGGACGTTAGATTCAGAGCAGTCGTGGCCATCAGGTTTAGCGTTGAAGACACCGTCGGACTTGAATCTGAGATTGACAACGCACTCCCAGTCAGTATGGTCAAGCGACGATGAACAATTGGAAAAGACAAATTTAGTGAAGTCATTTAGTTTCGATTCATTATGGTCAAACGAATATGATGAATATGTACCACAAGATTATATTCGGTCGTGGCGGACAAAGTTAGATCTAAGTTCGTCAACGCATTCGACACCAAAGTCGTCAACGGATATAAAGCAATTTGAACTATCAGACTTTGAGCTGATAAGATCTTCTTCGCACTCGTTAATGATAACCCCGTCGGATGAAAATCAAATGTGGTCGATTTGGGAAGAAATAAACGATATAAGTATTAATGAAGAAGAAGTGATGGAAACCGAAAACGAAGCAGTGGAAACTGGGGACAATACAGCGGAGATGGCAGTACAACCACCAATACCTAAACGTAAATCTTTTCTGTCGGTACTGGGGAGAAGAATACTGAGTGCCGGTAGAAAGCTATGTTGTTGCGGTGGCAGTGGCCACAAGCGTAGGTAAATTAAGTACAGATGGCTCTAATTTTGTATTATAGGCATACTGAGAAATCTTCTATGAATGATTTTATTTTTATTCATATTTTTTATTTTTATCTACAATTCAGTTGTTCATTGGTATTTCCATGTATTACCTGTTACCTATATATTTTTCTCTATTTTTACTAATGAACTGAATTTTTTATCTCAATTATTTTACAATTTTTATAATTGACTTTCTTTTTTTGATTTTGTATTATTTTATATATTGTTATTATTTATGTCTATTTTTGCACATCATTACCAATTTATTGGATTTTTTTTTTTTTAATATTATTATTGTGATTTATCATTATTATTTATTAACATGCATTTTGAAACGTAAATATTTTTTTATAACCAACTTTTTTTTTTTTACTATTTCATATCATTATAAGTACTTGTTTGTATTCTCAAATACAGTAGATAATAACTACAAACTTTTTGCAATTTTTCATATTATCCTATTATTGCAATTGATTCTTATATACATGTGTGTAATCTTTATAATCATATCAGCATTATTATTTTTTCTAATTTTTTCATGTTATTATAATATATATTTTTATATTTTTGTACATTATGGTGTAATTATGCACAACTATCAATTTTTTGGAAATTCATATTTTTATATCATTTTTTTTATATGAATTATTTGTATCTTTTATACATTGTTGTATTTTATATATATATATTTTTTTTTTTATTGTAATGTTATTATTGATTGTTATATTTTTTTTTTTATGTATATATCATACAGATACTACTTTGCTAAATATTATAAATAATATAAATTGTTGACGCAATAAAAACGTTGTTTTCGATGAAAATTTAGTTAATTTATTTAAATCAATTATGAAATTAATATTGTTTAAGTATAATACCTATACATATCTATAGATATATCTACGTTCATACACTTATAAAATTATATATATTTTTATACACATATTGTTAAATTAGACTTAAATATCGACGAAGTTTTGAGTGTTTTACGGATTACAAAATGGAACATGCCTAATTGAAAGCACAGTCAATCCGTTCACTAGTGCTGTATAAACCGCCGGTGCAACTGTGCAAACTGATATTTTTAAGCCTGATAATAAGTCAATTCACTCTAAATTCTAATACTAAGGCTGAAAATATACAATTTTTTCTACGGAACGTAAACTTTCTAAGTTATAACTTGTCATTCAAACATACGGGGTTTGGCTATTAAATAACGAGACTATCTACTTAGCGATAAGCCATGAGTAGATAAGGGTATAATGGTAGTATATTTGTAATCTATGAATATCACTGCATCGAACAATACCAGTTTAGTCAGTTTCCGTTTTGTAGTCTATGTGTAAGCGTTGTTTAAATTGACCTCTTACGTGTTGAATGTCGAAATCATGCCAGACGAAAAAATTGAACAACGTATTAATTTAAAATGTTTAGTGAAACTAGGAAAATCTGCGACCGAAAGTTTTAATTTATTAACTGAAGTAGATGGAGATAGTGTCCTATCACGACCACGTGTTTTTGAGTGGCACAAACGATTTTGTGAGGGTCGTGAAGAAGTTGAAGACAATCAACGGGTGGGTCGTCCATGCTCCTCAAAAACTAACGTTAACATTTCAAAAATCATGACAGAATGGGTACCTCAGGGACAAACTGTGAATCAACATTATTACCATCAAGTATTGACAACACTCAGAGAACGAGTAAGAAGAAAGCAGCCTGAGTTGTGGGAAAATGACTCTTGGATCTTTCATCAAGACAATACGCCGGCTCACAGTGTCTTATCTGTAAAGCGATTTCTAGCTAAAAATCGAACTCCAGTGCTTCAACACCCCCCATATTCCCCAGATCTCGCTCCATGCGACTTTTGGCTTTTTCCAAAATTAAAAAGTGCGTTAAAGGGCACACATTTTGAGTCAATTGAAGCTGTAAAAACAAAAGCGACAGAGGTGTTAAAGACATTGCAAGAAAAGGATTTCCAACAATGTTTCAACCAATGGAAAATTAGAATGGAGCGATGTGTCAAACATGAAGGGGAGTATATAGAAGGGGAAAAATGTTTAACTATTAAAAAATATAAATAAAAAGTTTTTACAGAGAAAATCTCGTTATTTATTAGCCACACCTCGTATATTAAAATTATTTTTCATTTTGATATATATACATAGATTGTCAACAAATTTATGTTATTTGCTTATAGTTGTTTATGCAACTGTTATATTTTTTATCAAATATTTATATGATCTGAGTACATACATTTATAGTTTAATATATTTTTATATTTTTAAAACATATTTGGAAAATTTTTAAATTATGCTTATTTGACAGTCGGTACCTACGTAACGCATTAAATCGTCATTTATGCTTGCAGATATTTCTACACAATTAAATGAAGAATATTAAACATAAGTTCGACGTCAATAGGTTTGGTAGCGTATATTTTTATGACCAAGTGAAGCAATCCAATGATAATGTGTTACACCATTTAAATTCTACAGAAATCTCTAGTTTCTAATCTCTATAGGTGCATAGTGTTATATAAAAACAATAATATTATACAAATGTTATCGATTTTATAGCGATTTACGAAATGTTCTAACGTAAATTATGATTGAGCAACAAAACAAACATCTCAGGTGTAAGAGGAAATTTTTCTTAATACAATATAGAAGATACTTCACAATAAAAATGAACGCATATTATGTATAGCAAATATAATAGCATATTGTACATTAAATTTTATGCGCGTACAAAATTTGAACTTTACTGATAAAATAATACTATGCACGGTCGAAAACGGGTGCGGCAAACTGTGTCGTAAAGTTTCGATAATAACAATATACATCTAAACACGATACATCAGAGACAACTTCTAAAAATATTGTTATTATTAATTATTACCATCTTTAACTTACCCGCTTTACTGGTAAGTACAATGCAGCTGCAATCGTCGTGCATCACGGTCGTCCGCTTTTTTTAATGGACTAAAAGAAATAATAACGAAAAAGTACCCATCGTTTATGCTATAGGTACGGATCAGTGTAGAAAATAATATATATAAGATATTAGATCTAACGCAAAAGTTAAAAAAGTAAATTTTAACCTAGCTATATTATTAAGTGAAAATTAAAAAAAAATAAAAAAAATTAATAACCTATTTAATCATCAATTGTTAGTGCTGAAAATTCAAAATACAATAATAGTAAAATGTTTAAAACTTAATTTTTCAAATTTCCGAATTTGTAAATAATCATTAATGGGCCGCAAAAAACATTAATTTTTTTGTTTTGATTTGTCTTTAAATATGTTTGAATCTGAACCTAATATTAGTGTGTCAATGAATTTCTTAATAATTCAATATTAAATAATTTTTAATTCATTAAAAAAATTACATTTTCCTGGTGGGGGGAGGAGATCTCATTTGCAGATCATTGAGGCTATTGTCTTATTCTATAAATTTTAAAATATCATATGTATATAATGTGTATTATATAAGACAATGGGCGCCACATTTCCAAAATTTAATATATTATAATATGTTGATAAATGAAAAAAAAATTATTGATATCTATCATATAGAAAAAATCGTAAAATTAAACGATATTTATATGGATAGGTAGTAGGTACTTTGTTTTATGTACCTATTCAACTAAAGACACGTCATGCACATAATACAATTCAACGGAACGATATAACAACAATAATAATTATTATTAAATAATCTTGTTTTAGTACGTTTCCGGTAACGCAGTATAGTAGTACTTAAAAAATTGGATTTTTTAAGAACTTCACATGATACACCCGAGTAGGATTTGAATACAATACTCTTGAGAAAAATTAATTCTAATAAAATTATTAAGCATGTGACGAAACGATTTGAGACATTCGATGTCAAATTACCAACTACCGGAAACTTATTAATTATTTTATAATACTTACGTTACTCTCGAAAAAATTAAATAATTATATAATCAAATTGCAAACCGGAAAAATTAATATATTCCATACAAGAATTAATAATATTTTATTAAACAATTATATTTTAATAGTTACTTATTTAAAAACTTGCCCTCTTTAAATCCTTCCCTCCCCTAGACATTTATTCAAACAGCGCCTCTTAATCTAACACCGAGGTAAAGGCAGTTTGAATATCCAAACGTATTGGACAAAACAATAAAATTTTAAAACATTTGCACAATATAATATTAATTATGTATACATCACGTCTACGATGTGTGTCGAACGATGATAGTATTGGTATAGGTACTCAACTCGATATAGGTAGGTTATTGTGGACGACGAACTGAAACTTTTTGAAATCATTACAATTGCACGGAAATGATAAATTTCAGTCGACGGCAATACAATAATATTATCCTTAACGTTGTAATGAAACGATGATAGACATTTTAAAATAAAAAAAAAATAATGATTTATGTTTATTGTGCATCGCAAAAACAGCACGGCGAATTGCCTGTCAAACACTACCGAGAACTAATACCAGCGCCGACATCGGTAAAATACATATTGCGGAACGGGCAAAAGGCGAGGAGTTAGTATCAACTCAGTCTAACAACTCCTACGTGCAACCTGTGAAGCATAACGTTGCACCTAAAACAGAAACTTAAAAACACAATTTATGACTATCGATACAGTTGAAAAAATAAACCGTTTAAAAAATATGTTCAAAGATTATCCACAAAAACAATGTCATCAATCGGGACACGTTATTGTTATTATATTATTTGTTCAACTGGTGATCGCACGTTCGTAATTCGTATTATTGTTCGTGACTAATAATTGGTAAAATAATCACTTATTGCTGTAGCGTTATAAGTATCTAGAACCCAATTTGTCGGTCGTTGTAGTATTTATCAAAAAATAACACAACATCATAGCACTACGTTTTAAATATTCACAATAATATTGAATCGATTTATCGAGTAGTTCGTATTTGACCATGTTATGTGTCAACGCGAATACAGGCAAAACCAACCAATTTTTTCAATGAAAGATTTTTTTTTAACTTCGAACCGCTAGTACTCATTAACAGCGCATTATTTAAATACGTTGACACGAATTATTCGCTACAATCATAAGCCCTAGTTTGGAGTCAACGCTTCGATGTGCTTAGCACGCTCAGTTTTAAATCAGAATTTTCATAATTTATAATTGATTAAATCTTATTTTATTTTATCATACGAACACGTAAAGTACAAAGCTTGGAATATTAAACGTAAGACCTTTGAATGGGGGATTTGGATTAAGTTATCACATACTAATCACTAAATAAGAGATAACATTAACTGAAAAACAGGAGTTAACACCCTCAGTTTTTCCATTGAAATTATGCCATTGATTAGAACTTAACTGTTAACGAAACCATAACGCATTTTTGGCTGGGTACAATATGTTTACATTCAAAAATAAAGTAAAAATACGTAGCTCTTAGTATCGTGATTTATGAAAATTACTTTTATTTTATTAGATTTAAATATTGTTTTATATTGCATGATAAATATATTAAAAAAATGACTAATAAATTATGGTTACAGTAAATTAAATATAAGTAATTTATGTATAATAATCATACATGACATTAAGGGTGCTCTAAAAAGATACGCTTATTAAAATTGGAAAGATGATTAATGAACGTAACATTTTCTGAACATAAGCTTTTAATTTATAAATACAATACTACTATTAGAGTTTAAAAAAAATTAGTATTAAAAGAAAATACAAACAATTGAATGAATTATTTTATTTTAATTGAAATCATTACAATTGAAACCATACAATATAAATAAAAATCTGCATAGGTACCTACTTATTTTATATTATACATAACTATAAGCATGTATAACTTATATTGTGTATAAAATTTTTTCAATCACAAGATTTTACTTGTTTGGTTTAAAAAAAAAAATATACATGAAAATGATGATAACATAAATTTGTTAAGTTTTTAATTTAAAATTCAATTATAATTCTGTACAAATTTTGTATTACAGTAAAAAATATTATGACTGACATTTATTACATACATTATGAAATTACAACTAATTTAATATTATTTGCTGGAAGAACCACCTTTTTATGGTCATTAATAATAAGTAAAACAATAGTTTTTGCTGTAATACATTAATAAAATTAAAATTAAAGAAGTCATTATTACTTGAAAATACATCAAAATAAGTTTTAATTTGTTTTCTATTTTATACAAAATACTATTAATCATATTACGAGAGCATTATCACAATTTACAATCAGTAGTATAAAGTAAAAAAAAAAATTAAGGTCTAGCATACAATAAACATGCTTACAAACTTATATATTTTGGTTCTAAGACAGATACTACAATACAAAAGGAAAAAATCTATGGATAATTGTAAAAAAGAATACAATATAAAGGTTTTTTTATTACATTTTTAATGTTTCACAAAAATCAATTTTCAATGATGATACCATGAATAAAAACCGATTTGTACCAATAGTTATTGTAAAAACACTGTTCCACCAGGTAAATTAAGTAAAAAAAAAAAAGAGGATTAACAATATAAAATTGGTTTTAAATCGATGATATTGAATTTGGATTATTTTGAATCATTCAAATTTAAAATATGTAATCTGGTCCAGCCATGTCAATGGCCCATCTAAACTTGTCTCTTTGTGTTTTATTGTATATCTTCTCAATAGGAACGTTGTACTTTTTGCACCAAGCTACTGATATACGCGGATCCAAATAATTTAATTTAGACGTACCCAAAGCAATTGTCTTGTTTTCTTCCTTGTCAGTTTCTTGAACTTCTAATTTAGTCAATTGTTCTTTTAATCGTTCTAAAGCTTTTTTTCTCTTTTCTAACTGGGTCTTGGAATGCACACTTCCGTCTTTCACATCTCGTTTGGCTTGTTTATATTGATCTTTAGCTTCTTTTACTGCCGCTCTTTTTGCTTGAATTTTTTCCTTCAGGTTTCCCATTGACTTTTCGTGTGTTTTTGGTACAGCGCGTTGATGGTTACACAAAATAGCAACTGCACGATTAGCTCGATTATATTGTAAGATTTTCTCTGCTACTGACACATTTGGATCAGTTAATTTTTCTAGTTGTTGTTGAAGTGTCCATGAAGCATTGAATGTACGAAAAACTTTCGCAGTAAGTCCATCCATAAGTTCATGCAAATGTTGATTCAATATTGATGTGTTCAAACGATCAAATAAATCATCACTACCTTTTTTATTTTCCATAAATATTTTCAAGTTTTTGAAAACTCTTTTTTCTACAGGTACTTCATTGTAATATCTTATAGAATCTTTACCAAGGAAATCAAACACAACTACATATTCTTGGTTATTAAATTCTTCATGTAATTGTATGTGTTCTACACGTAAAGAACAACAGCCTACAGTATCAGCTTGATCTTCATCTTTTTCATTTCCTGCTCTCAATGCTAATTTATCAATGAAATACAAAGCAACTGATCTTTGTCTAACATGCATTTCACGAGATTTCCAATCGTTAATATAATTTTCTCTTATCTTATCAATAGATTTTGCCAATCTTCTAGCAGTTTCATACTTTTGCCAATCCTTCTCCCCTTTAAGTTTAGAAGATGGATTTAACATAACATATTTAACTTGCCCTTGAACGTTTTCTATCCAGCTAGCAAGCCATGTAACACCAAAATCATGTCTCACTTCTTTCCATTTGTGACCAGGTGGAGGTTTTGGTATATTAGAATCTTTGCTACAATTAATTAGGACATCCTCAGGTACTACCCGTTTTTTCAACATACCCATTTTAGGATGTTCACCTCGTCCTCTAAATAAACCAGGTGGTTCAATTTTGAAATTACCTATCTTTTCTTTGTGACCATCAATAGTACAAAACCCATACTCTTTTTGCAAAGCTTCATTTTCTTCTTTTATTTTCTTTTTTTCTTCTTTACTCATAGCTTTACGTTCTTCTGACTTTTTAGTAAAATATACACTCATCTCTTTAAAGTTACATAATGAGAGATCAGTTATTAACTCCTTTTCTTTTGGTGTCATAGTTTTGCGCCAGTCTTTGAAAAAGTTCTTATTAAAAATTTCTTTAGTTGTATAATCGTGGTCAAGCATTTTGGCATAAAATGTTGCTACTTCTTCAGCCAATTCTGAAAGAACTACATGTTTACCATTATAATAAAATTTAACATTGCTCGGTAAAGGTTCATATGCGGGAGCAAAAACTGGTCCTTTATGTTCTAAAAACTTCCATTTAACACCATCATCTTTTTTTTCTTCTTCCCACCACTTCCATACTTCTTGTGGTTCTTCTTCTTTTTTTTTTTTAGGGGTACCTTTAACAGGACTTTCTTTTTGAGATGTATTATTTTCTTTTTTTACTTTATGCTTAGAATCTTTAGATGAATGATTTCTATCTTTTTCTTTGTGCTTACTCTTATGTTCTTTATCTTTTTTATGTTTTTTATGACTGCTGTTATGTTCTTTTTTAATATGCTTTGTTCGAGCGCTCAGAGGGACGTCATCTTCACTACTGCCAGAATGTTTACGTTTTCTATTTGATAAAGGTATGTCATCATCAGATTGTATTTCTTCCTTTATAGAAAAATCATCATCACTTTGTTTCCTCTTATGACTGGACATATTAAAGTCACCATCATCATCAGAAAAATTTTCTTCCTTAATACTATGGTTTAATTTGTAATCTCTTTTAATCTGGGAATGATAACCTGAATCATAGGGCTCATCTTTGTATTCTCGCTTAATTTCTTTTTTAACACCATTTTTTTCATGTTCCTGTGAAAAAAAAAAAATTTTAAATAATATTTTAAAACTGATGTAGGCCCCTTTTATCTAATTATAATTTTATTACTAAACCAAAATGTATACTGTAAAAAAAAATATATATATATATAATATATATATACATATATATAGCTATAACTAATGAAGGAATTCAATTAAATAAAAAACAAAAAAATTATGAACAATAATTATTAAATAGTGATTGACAAAAAAAAGGCCTTGTGTACATTATTTAAAAATGTTACCTTTGATTTATATAAAAACCTCATGTACACCTATTCAACTTGATCGGTGTCAAACTGAATGAACATGAATCACTCATAAGAAAATTGTGATGATTGTCTGTTGATGTTGAGAAACAAAAATAAATAGATAATTTATAAAAAAATCTTGAAATAACTAAACACTTGTGAAGACAAAAACACTAATAATGATAACTGTTTATAAAACAAAAAAATTTAATACTAGGTTGATAAACCTATATGTACAGTAAAATTAATATTATTAACAGTAGTTGAATAGGCGTATATAGAGTATATTTATTTAATTTTTATTTTAAATTATATTTACACAAGATTTATTAGCTACTTAAAAAAAAAAAAAAACCAAAATGTAAACCATGCATTATGTTTAATGTAATTGAATATGTAATAATTATTCATAACAGGGTTTCACAGTAGTTTTAATAAATTTAAAATCTCATAAAAAGTGAATGAACCAAAACAAATGATAGATGACTATTTTTTATCATAAAGCTAAATATATATCATTTCATTAAATACTAATGAATATTAGTAAACTCAATAAAGCATATGAAATATCAGTCATAAGCTTATTAATAAAGTGCTATACAATGTAAAATGATAATATTAACTGTTTTATGATATTGTAAACTAAAATTAAACTATTCAACTAAACATGGGATGAAAAAAAAAATAATATGAATAATGAACACAGAAGTGTGTTTTATTAAAACTAAAAGATGATTTATTATTTGTTAAAATAACACTCAAGTCTATACAATTTCAGTAACACACTAAAAAAAATATATATATATATTGTTTATCATCAATAGTTAAAAATTTGGTTAAAACAGGAATAAAGTGAAAAAAAATATATAGGAACACCTTAAGACTAATTTGTGACAACTGACTAGAAAATGTTATTACATATTACTAATATGCTGAGATCTAATAGTAAAAAAAAAATAAATCTATCTAATATAAAAATGTAATATCAATCTAATTCATAATAGTCTTTAATAATTTGGTTCACATTAGAAAAAACATTTTTAAAATCGTTGATATTTGTATTATACTGATTATAATGATGTACAAATGCTTTGTGGGAAAAAGCTCTTTTAGCTAATTTTATTACAGAGTTTAACGCAGAAACATTGGTAGAGTTATTTGACAATACACTCAAATATTTGGAACCCATAAAATGTCTTTGTTGAAACATCTGTGAAAATTTGTGTTCTTCTAAAATATGTTTAGAAAAAGATAAAGAATTTAACTTCTCAGAAAAATTTAATTTATCAACATAATTCGAAGTATCACCTCGATATACAATAAAATTTCCAAATGATACACCACAATGCGATGCATTTAACAAACGTATAGTTTGATTCACAATTGCTTCCCACCTTGGAGTTGATTCATAAGAAGAATATTCCCTTCTATAATTTGGAGATGATATTAAACTTAAAATTTTATACTTTTGATCATGTACAACTGACAGAAAATAAGGGAACGTTTGATGTTCTATTGGTTGAAAAATAGATATTAATTGTTTGCAGCCTATTTGATTTAAATCATCAAATGAAACTTTGACCTCTGAACGTCCAGCTTGACAAACTTCTTGCAAAACAGAATTCTCAAATAAAAAAATACTATCTGATATACTGTACAATTTGCTAATAGTAAAAGAAGTATTATAGTTTTGGATAGCATCTTTAGACTGATATGGCATGATAAGAACTACAATGAAAGAAATTTTAGGAAAATCTTGTTTTAATTTTTCAAGTATAAAACATGCTGATCCAGCACAACCACCTGAAGGGGATAAAATTATTAAAAAATATTCAATTTTATCAATTTTATTCATTTCAAATCTCAGCCGACTAGAAACATCTTCAAACATTTCAGGACCCTTGACATAATAACAATATGACCAGTTATTTGTCGACCCTTCAATAAAATTAAATCCTAATGAATTTTGTCCAAACCCCCAATTACAATTTTTTGATTTTTTCAAGATATCACCAATATTAGGATCTCCTATATCTATTAAAATTGACCTGGGTTCCAAATAACCATTAGATCTTAATTCGAAGAAACAAGATTCACTTGTATGTTTGTACTCTTGATTAACATGCTGAGTAACAATAGGATCAGAAGCGTTATTGTCACTAAAAATTGTGGAATAAAGACTATGGGTAAAACGTATTCCACAAGTACCAAAACAAATGGTTAGTACAGACATAATATTATTAAATTAATAAATAAAGTATAAATAAAAAAAAAACAATTTTTAGTAACTAACCCTATCGCGCTTCTTTGATTTTTCATGTTTTCGATCACTGGACTCTCGATCTTCTGCAAAAAAATAATAATAACAATTAAATTTGCTAAGTAATAAAATGTTTTTACAGAAATTATTGGTGGGCAGATTACAAATTAAAATTGCGTTAAATAAGATTCTTAACAAACATAAAAAGGATTAAAATGACACATTATTTTTATAAATACTTAGGTACTTAAATATTATAAAGAAAAAAAATATTTGACTTATACTAGTTCCAAGTACAAATATAATATAATTGTTGTTAAAAGTAAATACCAATAACAAAAACAAGTGAAGTTTTTATTTATAAGACCTTGATTTTAATAATAATTGTTATCTGGAATAATATAATGACAATAGTTAATAAATAAATTAATGTTTTTGGTAAGTAGGAAGTGTCTAGGTATTGGTTATGTTATAATTAATCTAAAAATATTTTATTTTTATGGCAAACATTTTAAAATAAAATTTAAGTCTAATTTATACATAATATATATAAAAATTGTTAAGTCTTAAAAGATTATTAAATAGGTATAAATTGGTAGATAGTTAATATGGAATATCAATTAGTACTTAAACACATCAAGATCTATAGGTATTACAATAGATTCCTAGGTACAACTTTCAATTGATGAAAATTAATATTTGCATAGTTAAGTAAGTACCTACCAAATAGTTTGGAAAAAAAATGCTAAGTTTATGGTAAAGGTGAGTTAAGATAATAAATAAACTTCTATTTAAAATAATTTAAGTATAAAAAAAAATTAAATTTGTTTTAGGCATTGTACCACACCTGTATAATAAAAAGAAAATGGTAACATCACTTACACACCCAAGTAACAAAATAGTATAAGTATCATGCATGTGTTTAACAGTCATCAATTCAGACAATTTATTTTATGTCAATAATTAAGTAATGATATCAAGTGAACATGTAACATTTTGTTATTTTGGTAAATTGATATAAATACAGTTAAGGAAATTTGTATATTCTTGACTGGGTTAATGAATCATCAAATTGATATGTGGTGAACTGTTCATCATTAAGTTTTATTTTTAATAGGTACCTAAGCACATGTGGATGATATATACGTACATAAGTAATCAATTTTTTCAAACCTAATAAATATAACAACTTAGATACAAGTATTATAAATTAACAAATAAACATTTTGCATTAAAGTAATTTCATACATTGAAAATGTAAGTATCTCACCAATACCTTACTACCTTATAATGAATGTTTATAGTTTTTACAGAGATTTTGAGGTTATAGCTAAATTATAATGAATGGATAGATAAAAAAATAAATATTTGTATAGAATTAAATTTTTATCGTATAATACTTTTACTTGTAGTTTATAACAAATAATGATCAAAATTGGTAAATAGGTACCTATAACAAGTTTGAATGATCAACCTAATACCAACCCTAAACTTATTATTTCTTTAGTTGAGAATGAATAATACAGCTTATTCAAATATGAATCAAAAGTGATATACTGAAATGTTTAAATTAATAGTATCGTATTAATAATATATTCCTCAAAAATATCCAAGGGAAAAAAGAACTGACCAATTGCAAATACCTAAATCAAATCAGAACAAAAATTTTTACAAATCACAGCTGATTTGAAGAAATCAAAACATCTGTAATGATTTAAAACTCTATAGGGAGGTTAGGTACCAAGTCTATTAACTAATTGACATTTAAACATGACAAAATGTGATATTGTGAGCAATCTATAAGAATTCAGTAGTAAAAGTAGTATATATCTATAGGTACCTATTAGTATTATAAATTTGCAACCATTCATAACTGTATGTCTGATGTTAGGTAAATATTTAAAACAAAATATGCAGTAAATATGCAAAGTTTTAGTTAATTATCTCTGATCATAGTAACCTGTTGTTTAACATCTTATAATATACAAAGCTTAACATAACACCTTTAGGTACATCAGAAATTAAAAAAAAACTACTTTACAATGGCTACCAAGTAGACTAGAACACTTAAAACACGTTGGAAAATGAAAGAATAAAAATACGATAACAGGAAACACAAAGATGGTAAACATGCATTGGAAATTCGAGGGGCTATTTTCGGCATGGGAAACAGACGGAATGTCATTAGCAGGAGCTTTTCTGGTGTCCATAATACCATGTACGTACACAAAATAGTATTAAGTAATAAACTAATAAATAATTACCGGCCATTATTCTGTTCACGTGGACGACAAAACGAGGTAGATCTGCAACTGACGCCGCGTTGTAGGTAGAATGCTGCCGCTGTAGGTATGAAGTAGTAATATATATTACAAAGTGATTAGGTGATGATCAGCGACTAAACCGTAGTTCCAATAAGAAAAATGTACATAGATTCTAGTTTCTGTGACAGTAACGATAATCTTACAATATGTAGTACTCTATAATAATGGTAAACTGACAATAGTAAGTAGCCCAACGAAGTCGTGATAGTAGTTGTAGCAGAGGTGGCAAAATTAACGATATGTATGAAATAAAGGTATTAAGACGTGTAAACTGAAAAATGACGATAAATCGACGAGCTAGTGATGGTGGTAGTGGTTGGTCGGTTTTCTAGCAGAACGACGTCCGCCGGCTGTAGTCATGCGTCACGATCCTGTAGGTTTTGTCGGATAAAAGCCGAACGCATAATAATGACGACAATGATCGTCGGATGGTTACGAATTCGGTTAAAACGCGACGACGGACCGCCGGACACACTGAAAAAGAAACTATACAACCGGCCGGAAACGCCGTAAGCGAGAAAAATAAATCAGAGTCGAATCGTAGCGGTGTAACGTCTGAGTGTATGTGGATGTAGTATACTAGTGTGTGTGTGTGTGTGTGTGTGTGTGCGTGTCGTGGACGATTCGGACTTACACGAAATTCACGTACACGATACACACAAGTCACAAGTACGCGAGACTACACGATGACGGCGGCGTCGGTCGGTGGCGACATACGAGTCATAGAGACGGTCCACAGCCACGGCAGACGAGTGCATTGACTTTTTTTGTTTAATCAAACAATCCGGCAACACCGCTACTGCGCAATGTTGCCAAAAAAATAAAATAGGCGGCAACGGTAAAATTTGTATTTCACACGACGTCCGTCTGCCTTTTACTCGTGTCATAAGTCGTCTTCATTTTTGTACGGAAAGTTCATTGTTTTTTTTTTTGTCACAACCCGGTATCAACATTTTTAAGGATATTAGAGTATATCGACTCCTATAAATTCAATATCGAATGTTCTAGAAGTTACATATATGGTATACTGGTGAAACGCACCGGACTCGTAACAAACTCGATACGAGTCGTTACGAATCGAATTTTCCTTTTTAAAATATCAAAAAATGTACTCATATACTACATAAAAATATTAATTATTATTTATTGTTATTTATAGGTATATATAAACATAACATAATGATTAATGATATTTTCAACGCCGCGGGTTTTCGGTGATGGTAAAAACAAAATGGCAGATTTTCCACTGATACCGTTATCTTTAACAACAATTGAACATTGATAAGAGATAACGAATTTTTGATCGACAGGCAATAACATAATATTATTAAATTCAAAATTGCTGTTTTCACAAATTGTGAATTTTTCCATATTTCTCTTTGTCTTTCGTTTGTTACTCAGTCAATATGTTAAAAATAACGACTGCTGTAGGAGTACAAGTTGTCTCTGCAATACGGCACGGACGAAGTCCTTGTTATGTCGCACTCCAATGCCTCGGTAGATTGGATGCAAAGTCGCAATTGGATCCAAAACTCTCCTCATCCACGTTTCTCAGTAAAATTGTCAGTAACCGTTGTTGCACACACCATTCGGTCCGGTGTTATGCAAAAAATAAAGATAAGAAAAGCAATAAAGGTACATAATAGTGCGTTTCCTAATAATATTAAATAATAAATATCAATTATGTAAATAATTCATTATTTTTTTTTAAATTTATGAGTATTCATCTTTAAGGTCAAAAAAAAGTATCCATTGATGAGAACCTTTTGGCTGAGCACTTTAAATACAATGCTATGAAAACCGAAATGGAAAAAGCTGTGGCTGCATTAAAGAATAACTATATTAAAAATTTGTCCTTAAGATCTTCTACAGGTATGTAACAAATAAAATAATTAAATCAATCATATATTATTACTTGTTATCTTTATCATTAAAAGTTAAGGTGCAAATATCTTTGTTTATGAGACAACTAAATTTAATTCACCCATGAAATATTGTTAAAATAATGTGCAACGATTCAGTTCTCATTAAATAAAATGTAAAATGTAGATAAACTATTAAAGATTTATCAATAATAAAAAATGTACTAAATAGCTTCATTATGATTAACAGCAATTTTATCTTAAAATTTTAGGAGCATTGGATTCACTTCCAGTTACATTTGAAGGTGATGAATATGTTATACAAGACTTAGCACAAATTGTGAGGAAAAATCCTAAAACAATAATTTTGAATATGATATCATTTCCACAAGCTATTCCAGCTGTTTTAGAATCATTAAAAGCATCTGGTATGAATCTAAATCCTCAACAAGATAAAACTTCTATATTTATACCAATACCTAAGTAAAGTATTTAAATAAAACATTTTTGAAAATACCTAAATAATTTGTTTACATTGTCATATTATAGAGTTACAAAAGAACATAGAGAAAACTTAAGCAAAGGTGCAAAAGCACTTTTTATCAAAACTAAAGATACTATTAAAGAATTACAAAATAAAAATATTAAATTGTTAAAAGACAATGACACATTGGCAACAGATTTGGTACACACTATGCAAGATCAGGTAGTTACAAAAATCAAATACTATCTATTTTAAGCTTTTGTTATTAAACAACATTCTTATTTCCTTGCATTATTAAATAAAATCAAGTATAAGTCCTTAAACATATCAAAGGTTTGTATTTCCTCAAGTTTTAAATTTAATTTAATTTTACTAATTGCATATAAAAATAAGTCCATAGTTTATTGAGTATAATAATAAAAAGTATTTAAAATATTTTTAAATATTTTTGAAAATATTTGTTAGCTTTTTTAAATTTGGTACTTATCTAATATGATATCTACAAAAAAAATGATATATCTAATACTTAATAAATAACGTCTATGAAAATAAATACCTACAATAAAAGACAGTCAGTCTAATATATTTGCCTATATACACAATATTATATGATAATAATAGTAGATACTAAAAATTATTTTTTTGTGGGAAAAAATATATCCTTGGTCAGTTAGTTTATAAAATTCAACAATAAACAACTTTAATGTCTCAAAAAAAAAAAAAAAAAATTCAAATGTATTTAAATAATTAATAGAATAACACTATTTTTATTTTACTTAACTTTCAGATTGCTTGTTGCAATGATGTGCTAAAATAGGGTTTTTCTTTTTTTGAGGCAACTACCTCATTATCAAAGTAAAAAAGGTGTTAATGATAATGTACTATTAACTAAATAATAAATGTAGATTAAAAGATATGGGCTGATGGCCAAATCATATAATTTGCCTTATAAAATTATTCAGCATTCTATTAGCTAGTAATATCACTGTTTTATTCCATAAAATCCCATGCTCAATTTTTAATGCTCAATATTTCAATATTCAATTAAGAGTGTAAGATTAGATCAATAAAACTTTCAATTTTTATTATATTTATTCTCTATAAAAATGATATTTGATGATTGATTTTTCTATTAAACATATATTAAAGATAAAAAAAATAAAAATAATGAGTAGTTCTATATTTTTAGGCAATACTGTAATCATTAATTTGCTGGTATCATATCAACCTTCCTAATTTATTGTTATTTATTATTATTGCAATAATTTATTTTATTTGTAAATTAAAATTACATAAAGTTGTTTTTTCAAATTCAATTTTTTAATTTATTAGATATAACTTCTATTGATGCTGACATACCAAAATGTATTAAATGTTTATAACTAAATTAATTACTATAAAATTATACAAATTTTACAACATGTATAATGTAGTTATATGTAATATAAAATTAAACTAAAAGCGAGAAAATAAACCAATATTTTTAGAAATGCACAAACAGTGAAAAATTAGCAGACTGTGTGGGTTTTTCATATCACTTTTAGTCTTTACATTATATTTATTCTAACAATAATTTCAAATTTATAAGTACTTATATACTTTATTTTAATTTTGGTAATACAATTACTGGTTAAAAAAATAAAACAACCAAAGCTCATCTTTTCTTGATTGCAAATTAATAAAACTTTAAATTTGTTTACTCTTTAAACTATTTATTTTATCACTTTTGACATTTAATATAACATCTTGGAACATAATAAGTACTTACTTTTCTCAGTATACTATTACGTACAAAATATTTTAGTTAATGATAATATTTACTTCAAAATAGTTAAATTTTAATAAAAAATAAATGATTTTATTTTTGGGGATACATATTTTAAAGTTGGTTGAAATCTCCTATACACCCCCTAGTTACACCAATGATTCCAACCTTTTAAATTAATTATGTAAAAGTTTTCTATGACAATAAAAGTATGGAAGAGCTGATAAATTTGTTATAATAAGTTCACATTAAATTAAATTTAAATGTTGAATTTCTAAATTATTTTTAATAAAGTCATAAAATTAATACTTTATATTTTTAAATGCAAATTACTATTAATGTTTAATAATAAACAAAAATAGAAATTTAATAAATCAACTATCAACTTAACATTAATTTTAGTATGGTGTTTGTTGGGTGTGCTAGCTCCTACAATTGTATGTAGTACAATGCACTTTGTATAGTACAAAATTTATAAGTGTGCTTTAATCAATGTTTATTTTGGTAAAATATTACAGCACTATTTAAAGTCATTGCTTTATTTGTATAAATAAACTAAAAGGTTATAATATAATATTATATAATACAATATTTTAATGAATAATAATACATTAAAGTAAATCAAATCAATTTTATTTTTGAGTAAATTAATTTATTAATTAATAACAATTTAATTTTGTTCACAGTTATAAAATAATACATTTATATTATGTGTCTTTGTGTGATTACATGTGTAATATAAAAATTTGGATATTTTAAGGGCTGGGATATGCAAAATGTGTGTAAATGTTTAGTTAATAATTATGTATTCAATTAGTAAAGTATTCTTTTCTTAATTGCTTTTCAATTTAAGCTTATCTTACAGTATATTCATTAAATTATAATATTAGCTATATTTAATAAGTAAAAAAATATAATATTTGAAATTGAAATATTAATAAAAGATTTTGTGTAAAAATTATTATTAACATTATATTTATTTATTTGTATACGATATAGATTACTGCATTGGCCGATAAATATGTACTAGAGGCACAACGAATAATGGAAGAAAAACAAAGTGAACTCAAAGGTGATTCATAGTGTTAGTAAATTTACTCAAGTTTTAATTTATACACAGTGATTGTATCTACTAAGGTACATCCCAAAAAGATTAATTTCTTTTGTTTAGTTAGATTTATACTTACCTGTTAATTTATAATCTACAGTAGAAACCAGTTTTGATGGTTAATTAATGTATGAATCATTAATACTGTACATTTTGTTCATAAAAATTATATGCATGAGTGTATATTGTATATAGGCATATAATAAATATATATATACATGCTTTATTATTGTTATCTATCTACTTGTTGTCTGTTGACGACCCCTGACAACAGAATACTTGTTGTTATACACAAACCCTTTATCTCTATCCTTGTTTTATTCTCTTCATTTTGGGTTTATTTTTCTTATTCTTTTTATTTTAAAACAGTTTACCTGTATTACTGAATAAGTAAATTAATACATATTGACCAAAAAATATTTCTACAATACAATACAAATAATAATCATGGGTAAGTAATAACAAGTTTAATAATTCATATGTTAGGTATTAGGGCATTACTATAATTTAAATAATTTA